GGACCAAGGAGGGTCCCAACGAGTTGCACCTGCCACTCACCGCGGAGCGCGGGACCAAGGAGGGTCCCAAGGAGCTGCACCTGCCACTCACCGCGGAGGCGGGACCAAGGAGGGTCCCAAGGAGCTGCACCTGCCACTCACCGCGGAGGCGGAGGCCGGAGTCCCCTCAGCGCCTGCTGTCCCGTCGTCACGGCGGGGCGGGGGGGAGCCTGACAGGGCGGCCCAGCGCCCGAGGGAGCCCAACTCAGCACCTGCTGTTCCTGGGGTGCGCTTCGAGGAGACGCCGTGCTCGACGCCTTCCACCTCGCAGGTGAGGCGGCGTCCCCGTCCCCTTCCCGTCGGCCTCCCTCACCCTCGGACGCGCGTGGCGCCGGCTCCCGCTCTCCTCGCACCCCGGGCCCTTCCAACGGGAGCGCGGGCCTGTGGGGAGGAGGGAGGAGGAAGGGAGCGCGAGGCCTTTTGACCGATTGGGACGCGGAGGCCCCGGGCGCCGAGCCCTCTTGAGGCTCCGGGTTCCCGGAGCGCCGGGGGACCCACGAGAAAGCGTGTGACCCGCACAAGGCCGAGCCCCCGCCCCACCCGGTGGCCCGCGTTTCCCTTCTCCCTCCCGCGTGGCCCGCACGGCCGGGGTGCCGACCCCGGGAGCGGCTAGAACTCCCGGAGCCAGACAGGGTCGGTGGCGCCAGGACTCGGATTGTGCGGGATGGTGCGGTGTGTCCCGGTGGCTCCATTGTCCGTCACGGTGGGAACGGGCGTAGGACGATGGGGAGGCGGTGTGCGGGGCAGGGGTGGCGTGGGGGGCGTCTCTCAGGCCCCCTGTGCTAGTGCGCACTTTCGGGGAGCGCCTCCAGCCCGCGCGCCCCAGTCAACACGCTCTCCCCCTCTCGCTCTCCCCTTTCGCTAAAAAATGACTTTACAAAACATTTTTACTTTTTAAAATAATTATTGTTGAAAGTATTACATTTTTTCCCCATTGACCCCCCTCTAGCCCGCCCCCCTGCCCTTCCTGCCCCCCCTTTCCCCCTCCCCCCAACAGGCCCTCACTGCCCCTTGTCTGAGCCCCCGGGCTATACAGTGGGGCCTTGACTTACGAGTGTCTCGAGTTTTTTGAGATCCCAGCTGTCTCTCAGCTGATTTTTTGCATTGAGTTGATAGAATAATTTGAGTTAAGGAGCTCCTTAACTTAAACTCGTAAGTCAAGGCCCCACTACTTACATGCACACAAGGTCTGTGGTTGATTACCTCCCATCCTCTGAGATTCTGCTTTTATAAATTGTAAAGAAGGGGCGGGGCCACGTGAACATGGGAGGGTCACGTGAGCAAGGAGTGGGGCCAGTGAACACGGGAGCTTCACGTGAACAAGGGGTGGGGCCACGTGACCATGGGAGAGTGGTCATGGGAGCCCGGAGGTCGCAGAACACAGTGTGTGGTCAGGCGGAGGGGGGCCGAGTGAAGGTGGAGGCTGAAATGGAAGGGATGCCGTGGGAGCCCCCAGAAGCCGAAGAGGCAGGAAGGGCCCTCCCCAGAGCCCGCGGAGGGAGCACAGCCCTGGACACCCTGAGTTCAGATTGTGGCCCCCAGAACTGGGAGAGCCCGGGCCTGTTGGTGTAGGCCAGCCTGTAGTCATTGGAGCAGCAGCCCCAGGAAAGGAACCCCTCCTTGTGCCTCCTTTTGGGGCTTTGACCAGTCTCTATGCCAGTGATGGCGAACCTTTTGAGCTCGGCGTGTCAGCATTTTGAAAAACCCTAACAACTCTGGTGCCGTGTCACATACAGAAATTTTTTGATATTTGCAACCATAGTAAAACAAAGACTTATATTTTTGATATTTATTTTATATATTTAAATGCCATTTAACAAAGAAAAATCAACCCAAAAAATGAGTTCGGGTGTCACCTCTGACACACGTGTCATAGGTTCGCCATCAGTCTCTGTGCGGCCTCCACTTTCCGTCCTTGGAGTCTTTCGTTGATTATTCAGGAAGTTTTTCTGTATTTTAGTTGTAATTCCAGTTTGGTCCTGGTAGTGTATCCATGCAGCATCCTCCGCTGCCATTTTCCTCTGTTTTACGAAACATTTTAAACAACAGATATTTGTTTCTCAATATGTTTCCCCTAAAAATTAATTGAATAATAAAGCATAATTATATGAAAACTAAATATTAAGGTTTTTGTTGTTCACTTTATTGACTTTCTAAGAATTTTTGGGGGCAGTGGGGACGAAAAATAAAGACCAGTGTGATCGAGAAAAACACATACATGATCAGTAGCCATTTTTGTTTCTCAAAATCCTTGTGTAAATAGAGTTATTTCTTTGCCGATACTTTAAGAGGAGAACAAAGTGGGTGGCAGGTGTGGCAGAAAGGAAACATCCTAATGATGAATGAATGTCCAGTCTGTGAAGAATAAGTGGTTAAACTTAAGATTTAAAAGAAAATGCCTAATAACCTTGGACAGATTATTATATTGGCCAGGATAGACCTGTTTGTTAAATTTAACTTCTATGTTGTATGGAAATAATTCTGTAAAACATGCATCAGCCGCTACTCAGTCCAGAAAGGGTGGTGACACAATTGAAGACCCCAAAGTAGGAAGCATTTTATGGAATACTGGAAGAATACAGCTTCCGTACATTCTCATGGGAGCTAAGACCCATTCTTGGAATATTTTAAAGATTTAAAAGAATTCTCATTGTCGTGAAAGATGAGCTTTTGATTTCCCATTATGTTTCTTGACATAAAATAAAAACTTCAAACACTGAAATCTCAGACTGAAGAAAAATCTAATGTAAAGTCTGGGAGACACGCCCACTGGTTATAAGGTAGATGGAACCAGTGGGAGAAGGACCAGGCACTTGCCAGGTTTACCTCAAACACTGTGGAAAGATTGGTAAACAGGGAAATCCATGCCCCCTCCCTCCCTCTTACCCAGGGGCTGTTGGTTGTGAAAGCAAAGTGAACAGCAGAGTCCTGCTTCCCCCACTCAGGCTCCCACCACCAGCCTGCCAGTCAGCAGGCAGGAGGCTGGTGACATCCCATTGCATTCTGGGAAACGTAGTCCTCACAAATAAGTACATGCAGAGATATGGGCGCTTGTGGAAGGGCTGGTGGGAATTGTCACTTTGATTCTGGACTATTTACTGTGAGGATAGAGAGCAGACCAGTGTAAGGGGAAGGAGAAGCCACCAGTTGAGATGCCGGGACTGAGCTAAGTGGTGCCTGTGAGCACTGAACAGTCCTGCTTCCCAGAGCTGAGGAACCCGGCTGCAGCACAGCCTGGTCCACACACGTGGGCACACTTTTCCTGTAAAGAGCCAAATAGTATGTAAATGCTTTGGACTTCCTGGGTCAGAGGCTTTTTGTGACAACTACTCGACTCTGATGTTGACATTGACACGAAAACAGCCAGACACTGTGCAGACCAGTGAGCATGTCTGTGTTCCCCAAAACTGTATTTATGGACACTGAAATTAGAATCTATGATTTTATGTGTCATAAAATTTTATTCTTCTTGTGATTTTTTTTCAGCCATTAAACAGTGTAACAGCCACTGCTAGCTCGTGGGCTGTACAGAAACAGGCAGTGGGCCAGATGGTAGGTTGTGTCTGTCCCCGGAATAACCCATGGAAAAGGTTATATTCTTAAAGGAGTAGGTAGAGCAAACACAGTAGGTCTGCCTGTGGTTAGATGGATGGAGCTGTTAGTGAAGTTTGATGGAAGTGGAGGCAGGGCATTTGCGTGGGACTCCTCGACACACCGTCATTAATAAGTTAATGACTGTGTTTCGTGTATGAATGAGAGAATAAATGAGTAGAAGAATATAGAAAAACAGTGTGATGTGGAGGGAAGCATTTTATAAAGAGGATGAAGGCACAGGCCCTGGAGAAGCATCTGTCCATGACTAGGAATTCCCAGGTGTCCTGTTGGGCACAGGGCCCGCCTTCACATGTCAGGGAACCAGCAGGAATATTTGAAAGAGATAAGAGCTACTGAAAGCTTTAGAACAGTGGATGGCATTGTTTCGTGTTCTATGACTAGCAAAGATAAACAAAACTGGACACTAGTTAAAGTAGTCAGGACAGATTTTAACCTATAATCTACTCTTGCATCAGGGAGGAGAGTCCCGAGTGACCGGATCTCCATTTGATTTGTACACAGGTGACTGGGAGTTTTAAAGGGAGAGTGAGGGCATAGGGAGGAGGTGAGCCGGGGGCCCCGTAGAGTCAGGGAGGTGAATTTCCAAGGGTTGGTCCCTGTAAATGGGACTAGGCCAGCTGTGTTGGCCAACTGGCAGTTACAGAGGCAGGGTTTATCCTCCTGGGAGACGGGGGGACAGAGGCCCCACCCTTCCTGAGGGCATGTCAAAGGATGATTTCCGGTTCTTGAGAAAGACACTCGAGTTGTCGGAAGTACAGGTATATCTCAAAGGGACAGAAAAGGACTCACAATTGTAAGGCTCTTTAGAAAATGGTTTAAGAAAAGGTAATCGGGCCGTCATCAGGTGTTGGCTAAACAAATGCTGAATTCTCTTGGCAGCCTCAAACTTTCTCAGACCGACACTTGCAGGGGTCTGGGTCTGGGGTTATCCTAGGGATGTGACCTTGGGCTGCTAGAAACTCTATGTTAGTGTTTGTTCAAGTCTTTTTTAAATGTGGAACGCTTCACAAATTTCATGTCATCCTTGCACAGGGGCCATGCTGATCTCTGTATCGTTCCAATTTTAGTATATGTGCTGCCGAGCGAGCACTGTTCACGTCTTTTAATGTGAGGGGGAGAGGACGGACAAAATCATTTGTGCTCAGTTTGTAACTTTCACAAACAGAAGTTTGTAAAAAGTGGAGAAGAGGGCTCAGAGGCACCTGGCTAGAGTTTGGTCAAGAAGTGAAATCTTTGTCCTTGCTTACTAATTTACACATTTACCCGTGAGTACACTTCCCTGGGGATATGCACAGGCAGCCCATTGACTTTACTGCAAGACTAATGCCTTTGAATCTGCTCTGTTTTCTCTCTTCCTGGAACATTCTTGCACAACCTTCATTTGAAGGAAGCCTATCTATGCTTTCGGCAGCTGTCCAAGGAGCCTCCTTTGTGAAGCCCTCCTGCATTTCTATGCATCCCCCTTCTCCCTGCAAAAGTAACTGTCTTTCTCTAGCTTTTGCTTCCTCCCTCCCTCCCTCCTTCCTTCTCTGTCTTTCCGTTAAGCAGAATTCCTACACTGCGTTTCTTGTTGCAGAATCACATGTCCCTTTACGTTAGCTTTAAAAAATTCCCCCCCCCCGCCTCGCCCAAGGAGTGAGGATATTTTCCCATTGATTTTAGAGAGAGTAGGAGGGAAGGAGGGGGACACATGGATTGGTTACCCCCCACCCCCATACCCCAACCTGGTCCCGACCAGGGGCAGGGATAGGACCTGCAACCTCGGCATGTGCCCAAGTGCCCTGACCAGGAATCGAACCAACGATCTCTCCATGCATGGGATGATGCCCAGCCAACTGAGCCGCACCGGCCAGGGCACGTTTACTTTCTGAAATTATGATGAAATAATCATGGAAGCACCTGCAGGCAGAGGCAGCATCTTGTTCATCTTGTATCTCAGGTACATGATACATTTTTGAAGGAAGTAGATGATCAATAAATGTTGGTTGATTTTAACCGATTTTCCTTCTTTGGACCAGTGACTTAATTAATATTGATGTATCTAGTTTGACAGTTAACTAATTCATTTGGCCTTTTAAAAATTCTATACTTTCTAAAGACTGCACAGTCTTTCTGTTTCAAGAAATTAATGTTAGCAGAATAAGTATTCATATTTGTGCCTATAGTAGTGCTTAATTTTATATAGATGGATAGCAGACTTGGTACACTGCATTTTTCAGTAATAATTTACTACTTTATGTAAAGGATAAATTTTTGTTAGTACACTCATGCATAATTTAAAGATTCACATGCTTTACTGAAAAAATAATTAAAAACTATAAATAATTGTTGACAAAGTTGATGCAAAATAAAATGCAAAGGTTTTTCTCTGCCAGCACAACTCTCTTGGCATAGAAATATTGATTTACAGTACTTAATAAAGAACTTTACACTACTATTTATTTTGTTTAAATTAAATTATTGACCAGGCAGCATTACTTATAAAATGCTTAACAGGCATTTTCTGACTAAAATATCCTCTTTCTTGAAAAATGTCAACTCAGGCTCCCACTGGAGAGAAAAGGGACGTGAACAACCCGAGGCCAATGCAGATGTTTACCTCATGAAGTCCAGTGGTGGGTCCTTCAGTGCCAGGGGGAGAGTCCGGCCCAAAGGAGGGCAGTGCCCCTCTGGGGTGGGCAGCAGGGAAGTTTCTGAGCTGAGGTGGCCCAGAGGTGGGGCCTGACATAGGAGTGGAGGTTGGACTGTGAGGAGTGTTTCGTGCAAAGTGAGAAGAGGAGCGAGTGCTCTACTTTGCAGGGTTAGTGCTAGAGAACATAGACTACCAGGGCCAAATCCAAGTGCCTTTTATCTAACCCAGTATTCCTAGTCATCAGATAATTCAATGAGTCCCACCACCATAGCCATGTTTTGTGTGAATTTTCTGTGAAGGGTAAGAGATTTGGGTTTAGGTTTAAAAACGTTTTTATTTTATTTTACACACGCACACACACACACACACACACACCCACACACACCGATTTCCGAGAGGGAGGAAGAGGAGAGGAGATAGAAAAATCAATGATGAGAGAGAATCACGGATTGGCTGCCTCCTGCACACCCCACACTGGGGATCAAGCCCGCAGCCTGAGCATGTGCCCTGACCAGGAATCGAACCCTGACCTCCTGGTTCATAGGTCGATGCTCAACCACTGAACCACGCCAGCCGGGCAGGGAAGTCTTGACCCAGTAGGGAACGAATGGTGTGGGGGACACACAGATGACTGCCGTCTAATTCTGTTTTAGCACCTGTCACGGACCTCGTTCACACCAGAATTCTTTCTGAGTACAACATAATCCTTTTATAAGCATTAGGTACAAGCTGACTACACGGAGGAGTCAGCCTTTAAAAGGATGCCGTCCCCCAGCCTTGGCAGCCTTTATTCCTTACCTTGGAAGGCAGCGCGATGTTGAGAAGCATCCCTGACCAAGGATAGGGGCCTGGACTTGCCGCCAAGCTTGCTCTGTTTTGGGCAAGTTCCTTCGTCTCCTTACTTTCTTAGTTCTAAAGTGTCCTCCGCCCTTTAGAATTGCCTGAGCATCATATGGAGTATCTAAAGTCCATTGAAAATACATAAAGGGCTGCACGGATGTAGCTCTGTTAGGAAAGAGAATGACCGCAGCCTGATTAGTCTGTGTGAGCTCAGTACACACACATGCCTACATGCTCTGTCATTTGTGCCTTTGGTTTCAAAGGCTGCTATGAATCGATGTGTTCAAGCACCCCAAGCTCGGCTGCTTTCTTATGCCGCCTCCACTTCTAGGTGTGGGGGAACCGGGTCAGGTGTTCAAAATAAAAGTGAGGAAGCTTTTCTCTTGATACTTATTAAAATTCGTGCACTAGGAGGGGTCCCTTAGCCCAGCCTGCGCCCTCTGACTTGACATTGACAACAAAGCAAAAAGGAAAACCCAGTTTTATTATTTGGTTTGTTGCATACTAAGACATAAAATTGAGCTCTGGCCAGTGTACAGCGGTTAGAACATCAGTCTGTGCAGCGAAGGGTCGCTGGTTTGATTACCGGTCAAGGCTACGTTACGTACCTGGGTTATAGGTTTGATTCTGACCCCAGTTGGGGCTTGTGCAGGAGGCAACCAATTGATGTGTCTCTCTCACATCAATGTTTCTCTCTCTCTCACCCTCCCTCCCTTCCACTCTCTGTAAAAATCAATATCCTCCAGTGAGAATTAACAAAAAAATTAAAAACAAGCAAAAAAACCCCCCAGAACATAAAATTGAAGGCCTAGAAATATCCAGAATATACAGAGTATTTTGTCGACCAACATGAGAATAACAAATAACCAGACAGAAGAAATGATGGGTACAGATGAATAGACATTTCACAGAAGAGGAGGTACAAATGGACCATTATAATAGGAAAACATCAGCCCCATTATTAATTGGGGAAATAAAAATTAAAGGCACAGTGAAGTATTTCACAGATTAACAATACTATTTATTGGTGAGAATGTGGAGCAATAGGAATTTTTGCCCAATTCTGATAGAAATGTATGCTGGAAAATGGTAATAATTTAGTAAACTTGGAGATGTGCATACACTATAATTTAGAGTTTTCACTCAGGTACATATCCTAATGAGTTTTGCATAAGGAAACATAATATTTGTTGCCATGTTACTGATAAGAAAAAATTGAAACAATATCAGACTAAGTACATTGAACTATAATTTATGGTTATCCAGTTGATTGATTACTCTAGAGCAATAAAAATGAATGAAATACAGGTGTTCAGATCAACATGGATCAATTTAAAAATGTAATATTGCGCCACCAAAAAGAAATTTCAGACTTTATAATTGTATAATGGGCAAACCCCTGCAAATTTAAATAATAATGGACATAAATTTGTGATAAATGTATAAAGAAAAGCAAGGACTGTTGTTGGGTGGAGGAACACAGGGACTTTCTGAATTACTCATAATGTAACTTTTTACCTGCTTGATGGATTCATGGGTGTTCATTTTATTCAAAACATGCATTTCTTTACATACATACTTTTGAATATACGATGCTTTTTCAGTAAAACTGAGGGCCCAGGAGATGTTGGTTTGGGTTCATTCTGAAAACTTTGGCCATAATCTAGAGAAAATGTTATTAATAAATGGAAAAATGTCTCTTAACTACTGTTTTACTGATGCTGCACTATTAAGCAGGACAGCGTGAATGTAGATGAGGAAACGAATGACTCACAATGAAACGGAGAAGAGAAAGTTAAGATATTTATTAAATGGCATTTTAGTAGTTATCTTAACATCTGTCTACCATGCTAAAATCAGCCCAATTAAGTTTGGAGTCCTGTCCCAAAATTTAAATATATGGAGTGTGAGCTAAAGGAGATTCCATTTTCTAATGTAAATGTTACATTGTGTAGACTATCAAAGTATGTCCACTCTATATAACCCCTGTTTGAGATATATCTGTTTAAATTTTATTGGTGATATTAAAATAGTGGTTGCATTAAATAAATTTCCATAAGAGATTAAAGAAAAAAAAACTAAAGGTAATTCATGTGTCTGTTAAACACACATGACGTGATTTTGTTTTTTAATCATTTAGATTAGTTAATAAGTTAACAATGATAGAAATCTAGCATTATTTTAAAATGTTTGAGTATGAAGAGGCTATGAATTATTCCATTATTTAATCCTTTTATAACAGCAAGTTTATGTGCATCCAAACATTTGAAGACATTTAAATAGTTTAATTTTGAAGTAATGAAAATGGAGAATAATTATTCAACATTGTTTTCCTGGTTACACTTTATATGATTGACATTTAAAATCATTATTCAGCCTTTTGTGCGACAAACATCCTTTCCCCAATGCTTTAACTTTTCCGAGTGTGTTTTTGTTTTCATTATTTAAATTGTTTTTGTTGCATTAAAAACTGCAGAAACAGATCTTAGCAGCATGTGGCCAGAGCAAGCAGGGTGTCACGATGCATGCCGTTTGAAAAACGAACTTGAAGCTACGTTAGAAATGATTTTATCCCTCTGCGTGTTTCCTCTTGAGGTAATTGGGGCATTGAAGTTACA